GACTTGTCATTATCCTCCCTTGTATTTATCCATATGTTGTAGTTATCCTAATCATTATAGGATTAGGATAATCATCCCTTTATTGTTGTAATCCTTATCTCCTAAGGAATATGCTTATTCTCTTGTATGTATATATATGTATGTGCACGTGATGAATAAGACAATGAGAGTTACAACCTTCTTCTTTATTCTTTAACAAGTATGATTTAATCGTGTATGATTTAAAACTACAAATAAAGATAATTGGTCGTTTGGGCTTAAAATCAACCACTGAATACTATTCCATCTGTTTCAAAAATTTAAATATTTTAGTTTTTTTACACATATCAAGAAAACACATAAAATTTTGATTACCATTGCATCATTTATTATAGATAACAATTCTATATATTTTTAACCAATAAAATTTTAGAAAACAAAATTATTTTTTTCTGGAATCTACAATTTTTTATTAAATTATACATTAAAAATGTAAAAAATACATCTTTTTAAACAAATATTTTTTCTAGAATGTTAATCTTTTTGAAATGGAGGGAGAACTAATTTTGATCATTTAACCATTATGTCATAACTGTGACTGTCAATAAAAGGTTGATGAGTAAGGTAATGTTTGTTAATATTTTTGATTTTTTTAAAACCTATTTAAGTACATTTGACTTCAATAATATCATCCGGATGTTATAACTTAGCATTTCAATTCGATATGAAAAATTATTTTTTAAATGATAAATAACTTTTGAGAGCCACGCTTGCGTGGAATGAACATTAATTATGTATACAAATCATTTATATCTATTATTATTATTTATTTTATGCTCATTTACGTATTATGCAATAATAAGTATATTGAATAATTTAGAGGCGAGTAACTATTACGTATATAGTTAAACTGGAGTAAACATACAAATAAAAACCATCCCTCTTTGTATTTACAATATTGTGTTGTTGGAAAAAAATAAAAATGAAGTTCAAAATAAAATTAAATGATATTAAGAAAATTATATAATATTGTGTTGTTGGAAAAAAAATAAAATGTTGTTTAAAATCAAATTAAATGATATTAAGAAAATTATATAATATATTTTAATATGAATATTTAGTAATTGAAGTTCATACTCATATGAATTAACTAACATTTTTATATCTACTATAACAATTATTATTTTTATTTATATGAATATTTATTAACACATTTACTAATTTATAACTGCTTAAAAAATCAAAATATAGCATATAAGAAAAAATCTAAACTTTTTTATTATATTATTAATATGATTTTTTAATTTATTTTAAGAATATAAAATTTTAAAAAATGATGGAGGATAGAAAATTGTTATTAAATCTTTATTATTCAAAATAATTAATTGTCATATATTTGACCATATTAGGCAATTCTGTAGCTTTTATTTAAGGAATTAATGGAGAATATTATTTTATACACTACCAATTAGTTGCATAGTTAGTTTAATTTTTTTTTTGTCATAACATAGTTAGTTTAATAATAAGTATAATATATATTGATATGAACCAACTTAGTTTTCTAAGAATTCTAAGAATCAAAGTAATGATGACACGTGGTTACCAAAATATGTTGTAATATTCTAGGATTAATATATAAGGGATATTAATGCATCGTCTTCAGATGTTGCCTTTTCTTTCCATTTACTGGTTATATAAATGAAAAAAACAATATTTAATTATGAAACTCTGTACTCACAAATTTGTTTCAAGAAATGATTTTTACTTGCAAGGGAACTAAAATACTGAGTTACTTGTTTTTTTTTTTTACAAATCAATGGATATATCTACTTATTTTTCTTCATCAGCATTCTTAGTATCACCATCTTCCTCCACTTTGGTATCTTATTCCTCTTTCACGTCTTGGTTTCTAATAAGCGGAGGAGATCCTTGAGTGCAATATTGGCATTCTTAGTCACAATGAGCTGCTGCGTGACTTCAGCCGGAGTTGCACTCACTTTAAGGACGAGCTTCTTAATGGGACCAAACAGGGCATGATCATCAATCTTGAGGTACAAAGCGACAAGCTTCTTGAGCACATAGGGTGTGCAATAATCCATGTGAATGTGAATGTCCATTCTTCCTGGCCTCAGCAACGCTGGATCGAGCTTCTCCTTGTGGTTTGTTGTGAAAATTATGATTCTTTCTTCTCCTCAGCTTGACCAAAGCCCGTCTACAAAGTTCAACATACCAGACAAAGACACCTGTCTAGAAGCATCATATACACAATCAATGTCTTCAATGAGAAAAATTGACCGGTTCTGGATAGAGGTGAGAATCCTCTGCAACTCACCATCATCCTTAACGCTTTGAAGCTGGATATCATAGATATCGTACTTCATGTAGTTAGCAATTGCAGCCACCATAGAGGTTTTTCCGGTACCCGATGGACCGTAAAGAAGATATCCACGTTTCCAGGTACGTCCCACGCTTTTGTAGAAGTCTTTTCCTTGAGAGAAAGCATCAAGATCATCGAGTATGCTGGTCTTTAGGTGCGACTCAATGGCTAGGGTATCGAAGGTCATGTGGTGCTCGAAAATGGTGGACAACCAGCACGAATATTGCCTGTTGTAAGTGTAGATTTTGAGACTCTCGCATTGGCGTAGTATATTGTCAGCCGTTTTAGCCAAGTAGGTGAAGTATTCTGTCATTATCTTCTTACATAACTCCTTCTCACATGTCAGATGAAAGAACCTATAACATTAAAACAAGAGTATAAGAGCACATCCAACGGGAATCTTTAGAAGAGAATCCTTAGGAAAAATATAATTAAAAGTTAAGAATTCGATCCTTAAGATCTCTAAATAAAAAATATTTTTTAGCGAATCCTTTCATTATTTGCGGATACTCAAGATACGTGACAGCCCACGAATGGTCATCTTTTTTTTTCTTTTTTTTCTTTAAAACAAAAAATCTGAAATATCCTAATCAAATCCGAAATACTCATTTTTTTTAAGGATTACTATGAGTCTCACGGTTGCGGATGCTCTAAGAACAAAAAAGATTACGATTACACTCAAGGAAAAGAACAAAAAACACAGGCTGTACCGTTTCCTGTTGGGAAAATTTTTAGTTTCAACAGAATGTAAAGTCCACTCAAGATGAATCCCTTCAAACTCGTCGTTTATTTTGGTATCTATAGGGATCCCTAGTTTCGGCTGAGCCTCTGGATTCTTTAGATTACTCGAACCCACAATGAGTTTTCCGCTGGAGAGTCTAGATAGAAGCGTTGGTAAGTAGACTTCGGCCGCATGGAAAGTTGTGTTCTTGAAAAAGTCACACTCTTCCTCGATTAAAAACGTGAAAATCGATGGAAGGTAAGATGAGAAGACGAAGTCTACAACTTTCCCAGTAATGTAATCTTGGATTCGCTTAGGCACAATGTCGTTGAAGATTGTACGGAAAAGCATCATGATTGCAGAAAATGATGTGTAGAGGGAGAAAACTGCAGATACAGAAGGGGCTTTATTACAGAGAGACGCCATTTTTTGAAAGGAAGATGTTGAAGAGTTTGGTATAGCTAGAGAGCTATAGAGATTCTGTGTTTATAAAGAGTTGGAGTGATCAACAAGAAAGTTTGCAATTTCAGCATATAATTTCAAGCAATTCAAGCTTGTGCTCAAGAAAAGCAAAATGGAAATTGTGGATCAAAGCTTTAAATGAAAAGTGCTAAAAGTTTGTAAAATATTGGAATATATAAATGATAAACTGAAAAGCTGAAAGAATATAAGATTTTCTTTTTAGAAATTAAAAATACTATACAAAAGAAGAATTGAAAACTTGACAACTGTTTTTAATCTAGATATTATATTTAGTACTTGACAAACTTTATTCATGTACCATCCATTAACCTCAAACGTGATGTTACGTTATACTAAAATGAATCTGGGATTATATATTTCTTTTTTTATACTTTCTAAAAAGTTATATGAAAAGTGTAAGACTTTTAAAAAAGCAAATACAAAAAATAAAAAATGTTAAATATTTTAATTTATTCTTTATTTCCTGTATTACCCTTCTAGACACAAAAATTTGAAGAATCTGATGACACAAAAGTAATATACCAGGAAAGAATAGGGGTAATTTCATAAAAGAGATTTTGTTTTAAATTATTGATTATTCTTTTATAAAAAAGATTATTCTATTTTAGTTGTTTTTTAAATACACTATATAGAGGAATTACACATACTAACAAAGTTTCAGTTGAGAATATTTAAGAAATTAGCAAATAAGAGTGTGAGTAACATAATGATACAACTATTTTTTTTGTTGTATATCAATTATTTTTTGCTAAACATCTATTGAAAATTAATGAAATAAGCTAGAAGGATGTATATATAGATGCCTATATATTAATTTTATGGGGAGCTGCATCCTATAACCAGAAAAAAATATTAATTCATCTGATAACTTTTTGGAAACGATGGGTTTTTTTTGAGCAAAAAAAAAAACTATCTATTGAAAATTATATGGAAACGATTGTTAGGATCTATCTAATTATATAAAAGAGGATTTTCCTACCTTATGTTCGTCCACGTTATCAATTCATTGACTCTGGTGCTGCCACATGTTCTTCCTTTACAAAACGCACCATATCACTTAAGACATTCATTCTCGGTATGGGCTCTGAACCCACAACACTCGAGCTTGACTCCTCCAAATCCCAGACTCCAATGACCCGTGAAGGCTCTCTGACAATGTTTCCTGGTCTTGCTGTCACCTAAGCAATCCATGTCCCGTCGTCACCGTCGAGCTCTTCCTTCGCCGTTCTCAGTCGCGAGTTCTCAGCTCCACCACCATGGCCAAGTTCGATTTGCAATTCTCCACCACGGGATCTCTGGTCCAAGTCCTCTCCTCGGTGTCGTGCTCTCAGTTCGTGGCTGTACTCATCGTCGCTGCTAGGGAGGCTCGCCGCCGTCGACCAGATCCGGCCAAAAGAAGCATCCAGCAATGTCAATGGCTATTTCCTCCTTTTTTGCACATGTGACCCTTCAGCCTTTTGTTCTTTCCATTTCAGCCACAGAGTTTGTAAATTGCAGAAATGTTCTTACTTTAGACCCTTTAACTTTAGATTGTGCAAATCTAGCCCAAGCGAGTATTCTAAATTTGCAGGATGGTCCTCGGGTTTTGTGTTCTTTCATTCTGATCCCACAGTCTTGAAATGTACATTTTGACCTTAGATTGTCGCCATAAACTTTCAATTGTACAATTTAAACTATGTTATATGCAAATGAACACTCTAATACAATATATACATTTAATATACAATCTAAATGATCAAAATGAATTAAAACAAGACTATAAAACTCAATAAAATCATAACATATCAATAGTATAAGGACAAATGTGTAACTTATGTTTGTGTTTGTGTTTCCGACTATCGGTTATATGTATCACACAAATTTACTATAGGTGTATATTAATATATGTTTACTCTCATAGTATGTAAATATAAAAATCTGCAGTTGCTTTGTATATGAATATTAGATTTTGATCCGCGAGTGTTTTTTTATGGATCTAATTTGAGAATGGTTACCATTTAGAAATAGTCTCACATAGTGTTGGTTACTCATATCCATATTAAATATTTAGGCAAGAAAAATGATATCATATATAATTTATTTGTCATTTGATAATATTTATTGTTCGACGTGAATATTTTTTTTTATATGTGTCTAGTTTTGTTTTTGATAGTATTTTTCCTTTTAAAATTTTTATCTATTGTAAAATAAATCACGATTAACAAAATTTATATGCTAAGATAATGAAAACGATTTTTACAATAATAATAATATTAAAATAATTTAATAGAACTTTTCTAAACCATTTTTAAAACAATTACAAAAAGATATGTAAAATAATTTAGTTGATACTAATTTTCCTTTTCCAAAATCCTGTAGAGAAGGTAATTAAAATATATTTTTTAGTAATTGTTTTTTTTTCTAAAATCTTGAATATAAGAAAATTATAAAAGAGAGTTTAATAGTAGTTTTTCCTTTTCAAATCCTAAACAAAAAATATTTGTAGAATAATTATTTCAAATATTATTTATGTCCTTTTCTTCTTAAACCGATGATGAATATTAATATATATATATATATATATATCCTAATATAATAAAAAATTAAATTTTAAGATATTAGTTTTTAATAATTGTTTAAAAGTAAAAGCAAGAAATTAAAAGTGTTTAACGTAATTTTAATTTTCACGAACCCTAAAAAAATATTTAATATAATAAAAACGAATTTAAAAAATACTAATTTAAAATATTTTGTAAAAGTAGAAAAATAAATAAAGAGTGTTTAATTGTAGTTTTATTTTTGCAAATCCTAAAAAAAAAAATTGTAAAGTAAATTATTAATTACCAATTGGGGTTTCTAAAATCCTAAAGAAAATATTATTGTAAAAGATTATTTGATAGTAAATTTCCTTTTAAAACTTTATATAAGTTAAAATAAGTCATGATTAACAAAATATATATATACTAAGATAATGAAAGCGATTTACAAATAAAAGTAATTTTAAAAATTATTTAATAGCTTATTTTCTAAACCATTTTCTTTTACAAAATTTAACGAAAAATCATTTATTTGATACTAATTTTTCTTTTTTAAAAGACTGAAGAAATGGTAACTGAAAAAAATATCGGGGTTTTTGCAAAACCAACCTAAAATTTCAAGTCAAACACAAAACCAACCTCTTTTTTTTTGTCCATTACTATTCACTCTTAAAAAACCTAAACTCTCCTCATGTTTCCACTTATTTACCAAAATGCCATTATTTTTAAATCTGATTTTATTTTCGAAAATTATTAAAAACCTATTACACCCTAAACATTTCTCCTTATTTACCATAATGCCATTGTCATCAATATTTGCAACCACCCAAAACCACCATTGATGAGCTCTTTAAGCTTGTGTTTATGAAATTTCAACCACTTATTTCACTTTCTAAACAAACAATACTTCATT